AAAATAAGTGGAGAAGGGGAGGGTTGACATGTCGTGGGGTTGTTAACCAATGTCATAAAACAGTATGTGTACTACTGTTTCATGTGAAACTATTTGTTCTGTAAACCTTCACCTGAAGTACAATTTAAAAAAAAAAAAAGATGGGAGTGGGGGTGGGAAAGTGTTATATTGTTGGTTACCGGTTATTCTTTCTCCTACTGGAAGCTCCGTGAAGCTGCTTTCTTGTACCCCGTTTGCTGGTCTCTGATAGGAGTCCAAGGTGGCGGATCCGTGCTGTGTCAGCTGATAGGGGACATCTGCATGTATGTTTCCTCGCTCTCTGTTCTCTGTTAGTTTCTTACTCCATTTGGTGCTTGGCTGAGTTCTTTATGTCTTTATTTGATGCTTAGGGTTTCTGGATTGCTGTTTTCTCTGGCTTAGTTTTTTGGATCTTTCCTGTGGAGGAACTGCGTGGCGCTTCTGCCTAGAGTGCCATGTTGCCGGAAGTCGTCTGATGTTTTAATTTTTAAAATAACAGATTCGTGTTAAAAATAAATAGAAGTATATATGGTGAAAAGTACACAATGATTCCTACTTCTCAACTGTCCAGTCTTACACTCCAGAGGTAACTGCTGTTGACATTTTTTTAAATATCTGGCTAGAATTTTAATATACATTATACATATATTTGTTGATTGGCAGTTGTATACTTTATCCTCTTTTTTTAGCCAAATAAGATCATATGATACACTAAGTTATTGTTACCCGAATAGGGTCCGTGCCCGGGAGCAGTTGAGCCAGTGAAACACAGTCCAAGTCAGAAAGAGTGAGAAAGTTTTAATTAGGAAGTATACACCACCGGGGATCCAACAGCAACACAGGCTGTCCTTAGGGAGTCCCAAAAGGCATTTTTACATTAGAGCTTATATATGATTTTTACAAAGGTTAGAAATGTTGTTATTCACTTCGAGATAATTACAAGAGACTCTTTATCATACTAAAGAGATAGGAAACAGGACATTTCCTTATCAGGCTGAAGATATACGTCTCTGACATCTGGGCTCTAATCTTCCTGTGGGGGATCCTAAGTCATAATACAGAGTCATTAACAAAGGTATACACAAAACAAAGCTATTAACAAAGGTATGCGTAAAGGGAGAAGGCAAAAAAAGAGCAAAAACTTACAGGTTCATAATGGCGTTAGTTATGTCAAGTCCTCAGTTGCCCATTTGGAAAAGGAGAAAACATGCTGGGGAGTATTACGGTCATAGTTATGCATTTAGTTCTTCTTTCCCTTTAATAATATCAAGGCCATCCTTTTATATCAATACCTATGAATCTATTAGCTTTTCATTGGCTGTATAGTATTATGTGGTATGGAAGAACCATAGTTTCTGCCCCCTATTGATGGACATTCAAGTATTTTCCCTCTTTTTGTTCTTGTAAACAATGCTTCAGGAATATCATTGAACATACCTTTGTGCGTACTTGAACAAGTACACCTGATGGATAAATTTCTAGAAGTGAAATTCTGCCTTTAAAATATTGATGTTGTTGTTAGGTGCCATTGAGTCAGTACCGACTCAGTGACCCTGTGTGAAACAGAACAAAACACTGCCCAGTCCTGTGCCATCCTCACAATCATTGCTATGTTTGAGCCCATTGTTGCAGCCATTGTGTCACTCCATTTTGTTGAGGGTCTTCCTCTTTTTTGATGACACTTTGCCAATCATGATGTCCTTCTCCAGGGACTGGTTCCTCCTGGTAACATGTCCAAAGTATGTGAGATGAAATCTCGCCATCCTTGCTTCTAAGGAGCATTCTGGCTGTACTTCTTCCAAGATAGGTTTGTTTTTCTGGCAGTCCATGGTATATTCAATGTTCTTCACCAACACCATAATTCAAAGGCATTGATTCTTCTTCGGTCTTCCTTATTCACTGTCCAGCTGTCACATGCATATGAGATGACTGAAAATGCCATGGCTTGGGTCAGGTGCACCTTAGTCTTCAAAGGGACATCTTTGCTTTTCAACACTTTAAAGAGGTCTTTTGCAGCAGATTTGCGAAATGCAGTACGTCATCTGATTTCTTAACTGCTGCTTCCATGGGTGTTGATTGTGGATCCAAGTAAAAAAAATCTTTGACAACATCAATCTTTTCTCCATTTATCATTGCCTTAGTGCTGCTATAACAGAAATACCACAAGTGGATGGCTTTAACAAAGAGAAATTTATTCTCTCACAGTCTAGTAGGCTAGAAGTCTGAATTCAAGGCGTCAGCTCCAGGGGAAGGCTTTCTCTGTTGGCTCTGGAGAAAGGTCCTTGCCATCAATCTTCCCCTGGACTAGGAGTTTCTCAGCACAGGGACCACCAGTCCAAAGGACACCCTCTTCTCCTGGCACTGCTCTCTTGGTGGTATGAGGTGGTATGAGGTCCCTAGGTCTCTCTGCTGGCTTCTCTCTTTTATATCTCAAAAGAGATTTACTTAACACACAACCTAATCTTGTAGATGGAGTCCTACCTCATTAACATAACTGCCCCTAATCCCACCTCGTTAACATCGTAGAGGTAGGATTTACAACACAGAGGAAAATCACATCAGATGACAAAATGGTGGGCAATACTGGGAATCATTACTAGCCAAGTTGACACACATTTTGGGGGTACACAATTCAATCCATGACATGCCACCCTTCTAGACCTATAACTAGACTTAAGTCTCAGCGAACCTCAAAAGGTGAAGTACAAAGTGTGACCCAGAAGAAGGTACGCTATACTCCAGAAGAACTGCTTGACTTTTCTAATATGTACAAAGGAAACCTGGGGAATATGTGTGGGAATGGCTATTAAGCATGTGGGATAATGGTGCAAGGAATATAAAGATGGATCAGTCTGAGTTTATTGATATGGGCCTACTAAGCATAGACTCTTCAGTCAGTGTTACAGTTCGAGAAGTTAGGAAAGAATCTACTAGTTTTTTGGTTGAGTCGCTGAAGCATAGGTTATGCGGTGGCCTACACTAAATCAAGTTGAAGTACCAGACCTGCCTTGGTACACTGTAGACGAAGGTATCCAAAGGTTTAGGGAAATTGGCATGCTAGAGTGAATTTATCAGGTTATACCCACAGACCCACACACGGAGTGCCCAGAGTACACACCTTGTATCACAACTGTGAGGAACAAATTTGTAAAGGGAGCCCCAGCATTCTTGAAGACTGCCATGATTGCTATTTTATGTAAATCAGATTTGACAGTGGGAACTGCCCTAAGTGAATTAAGACACCTAATTACAATGGGGTTGATTGGACCCCATGGTAGTAAGGGCCAAGTGACTGCACTCAATCCACAAAGACAAGGTGGGTGTGGTTACAGTAACAGACAGTGGAGTCAAAGCAGTAATCAGAATAGTCTGACTCACATGACTTATGGCTTTGGCTACTTAGTCATGGTGTCCCTAGAAGTGAAATAAATAGGAAATCTACTAAATATTTACTTGATCTGTACAAGCAGATGAATTCTAGGTCAAGTGAACAGGAGTCTAACTCCAATCACCAGAATGAAGAGTCATGGTCCCTCAATCAGTTCCCAAACTTGAGCAAATTTAAAGACCCACAACCTCTTGAAGGAAGGTGAGGCTGGTCCCCTTGAGGAAGGACTTCAGTGCTCTGCCAAAAATTTATACTGTTAATCTTTCTCCTAGCCTCCCCCAAATGGATCTACGGCCTTTTACAAGAGCAGCTATTCACTGGGGTAAAGGAAATAATCAGGCTTTCCAGGGATTACTAGATACTGGCTCCGAATTGACACTAATTCCAGGATATCCCTTAGGGATCCCTTAGTACTATCATTTTCTGTGATTAAAGTCAATGTAAAACTACAGCAACCCAATTCCGACGTGACTACTAATGGCCCAGACACTTCAGGAATGAAGGTTTGGGTCACCCCACCAGGCAAAGAACTATGACCAGTTGAGGTGCTTGCTGAGGGCAAAGGGAATATGGAATGGGTGGTGGAAGAAGATAGTTCTAAATACCAGTTACAGCCACATGACCATTTGGAATAATGAGGACTGTAATTGTTATGAGCATTTATGCTTTGTGTGCATCAAATATTTTTGTTTTCTTCACTTATAAAATATAAGATGTAAACAGGGCTAGTGCATTTTCAGTTGTTTGTCTGATTGTTGTATCATGTTAGGTGCAAGTATTGCTTTATAATGTCTTTATTCAGAGATGTATGGTTTAAGAAGATGTGTACAGGTGCCAAGTTGACAAAGGGTGGACTGTGATGGTCAACATTGTGTGTCAACCTGACTGGGGCATGATTCTCAGTGTTTTGGCAGTCGTATAATGTTGTGATCTCTTCCCTGTTGAGATTTGATACACGATTACCCCCATGACGGGATCTGCTGCGAGTAGCCAGTCAGTTGAAAGGGAGTTTCCTTGGGCATGTGGCCTGCATCAAATATAAACGGAAATTCTGCAGGGCTCAGGAGCTTTTTGCTTGCACTAGATCCTGCAGTTGGCTGCTGTTCGTCTGACCTCCGGTTCTTGGGACTTGAGCTAGCAGCTTACCTGCGATCTTGCCTGCCAGTCTTGTGATTCATCGATCTTCACAGCCTGTGAGCAAGAGCCCTGTTCTCTGACCTGCTAATCTTGGGTTTGCTAGCCCCTGCAGCTATGTGAATCAGGAGAAACTTCCATCCTGACTCAAGGACTTGGGATATTCCAGCCTCTACAACCCTGTGAGCCATTTCCTTGATATAAATCTTTATATAAATATATATATGCTTCACTGGTTTTTCTTCTGTAGAGAACCCAGCCGAAGACATTCATGATGTTGCTTATTGGTCCAGTTGTGAGGGTTTTTGTTTTTGTATTAAGGTGTAATCCATAGTGAAGGCGGTAGTCTTTGATCTTCATCAGTAAATGCTTGAAGTTCTCTTCACTTTCTGAAAGCCAGGTTGTGTCATCTGCATATTGCAGGTTGTTAATGAGTCTTCCTCCAGCCCTGATGCCTCATTCTTCTTCATGTAGTCCATGTTGATAGCACTTGCCAAATTGCTTTCTAAATGTTGATACCAAAACCAAACCAAACCTGTTGCCGTCGTAAAAACCGTAGGGTTTCCAAGGAGCAGTTGGTGGATTCAAACTGTAGACCTTTTAGTTACAGCCGAACTCTTAACTGCTGCGCCACTAGATGTTGCTAAATTGCCTTCCAAAAGATTGTGTGAATTTCCATGGTCATGAGTGCATGTGAATGTGTATTTTCCCAGGTCCTCACCAATACTGGACATTATCAGACTTTTCATATTTGCCAATTTGTTAGGTGCAACATGTTACCCTGGTTAAATTTGTGTCTCTGCAATTGTCCTAGAGGTTCTTTCTCTTTTTAGATGTCTTTTGGCCAGTGGTGTATCTTTTTCAATGAACTGTCTGTTCTTACTCCTTCCTCACTCTTTTGTAAAAAAAAAGGTGTTCCCCTTCTCTATATTGATAGAATTAAAAAAAATTATTATGGAAAATTCAAACATATACAGAAATAGAGAGGATACTATAATGAGCTCTGTGAGTCCATCTATAAGCCTCTATAGTTCAACTCTTGGCCAGTCTTGTTTCCTCTCTCCATCCATCCACTCCCTACCACCCATTTCACTGAAACAAATCTCAGATGTTATTATCATTTTATTCACAGATATTTCTGTATATATTTCTAAAAAAAGAACCCATACTACCATCATCACACCTAAGAAATAATAACAGTAATTTCTCTGTATCATTAAATAGTATTCATATTTCTCTGAATGTCTCAAATGTTTTGTTTTTACAAAATGCTTGTTTGAATAAGGATCCAAATATGATGTATTAATTGCAATTGATTGATATGTATCTCAAGTCTCTTAATCTATAGGGGTTCTTCTTCTTTTTTTTTTTTCTTTTTCCTTTGTAATTTATCTGTTAAAGAAACCAGGTTGTTCGTCTTACAGAGTTCCCACAGTCTGAATGTTGCTGATCGCAACCCTATAGTGTCGTTTAACTTGTATCTCTGTCACTTGTATTTCCTCTAAATTAATCTTTAAATATGGAAGCCTGATAAGATTTAAATTCCACTTTTTTTTTTTTTGGCAAGAATCTTTCCTAAACGTTGTGTTCTTCCATCAAAAGGCTTATAGTACCTGGTTGTCTTTTTTTAATATTAGCAGCCATTACGTAGATCCAACAATTCATTAAGAGTTTGCAAATTGTGGCATATAATGGCTTTAAAGAAATTCATATGCATCTGTCTGCCCTATTGCATTGGCTAGAACTTCAGAATGAACAGCAGCAGCAGCAAGAATACATCCCCTTCTTTCAATCCTGAGTTTCATTCAGGGGATGTCTGTGGTGTCCTTTGACCCTTCACAGAGAAACTGGTCATTAGGGACCCTGATTCATTCAGCACACACCATCAACCTCAGGGACAAGAGACAGGTAGTATCTCACTGGGGTCCTGCTCTGGCTGGACACTTGCCCCTCAGCCTGTCCTTGACTCCAGCCCAGGGGTGTCTATGGAACCCACTGGGGCTTTCTTCCTTCCCTTCCCAGATGGACCTCTCACTGGATCCTGTAATTCTGGTTTTCATCTCCACAGGACAGGACAAGTCTTCGGAGGAGAGTGAATACCTGCTGGCAATGGTGAAAAAGCTGCAGAAAGGTCATGTGTCTCCTGTGTCTGATGCTTCGCTTGGGGCTTGGAGTCAGACGGACATGGTTCAGACCCAGCCTCCGTAACTCAACCTTGGGGAATCATCCCATTACACTTCTCCCTCTTATACAATTTAATTCTTTGAACCAAAAATACGGCCTCACAATTCAAAATTCAAGAAGTGTAAGAGGAGAAAAAACCTGTCGTCCTCCTCCCCTTCACACACACCAGTCACCGGCTTCCCTGCCTCATAAGCCAGCAGCAATTGTTTTTAAATTCTTAATATCTTTTTAGAGATTCTTTTTTAATACATTCATGAGTATGTACTCTATGCCTGCCTTTTGTATATACAAAGGGGAAAAAGCCTTGCAGATGGTTTTGCACCTTGCTGTGCTTGTTGAAGAGGACCAGGGAGCTAGCCTGCTCCCAGTACTCACATCAGGGCTGGGGCTGAGGGCAGGACAGGTTTGATGCTGGACTCTCCAGCCCATCCTCAGCTTAAAATTCATTGATCTGTTCCAAATAACATGGAGCCCTACCCTGTAGCTGCATGCAGAAGTGCATTGGAGCTGCTGCCTAGGCTAAAATTCGGTAGACAAATTACAGGGCTAGAAACAGAGTGACCCTGAACATCTCCAGTAAACCAAAAATATCCCTCTCTCCCTTCCTCCTGGGATTTCTGACCTTCATAATTACATCTTGGAGAGCACTCACTCTCCTGGAAGTCACAGGAGCTGGAGTTGGCCTCAGAAATTTCAAGGCCTAAGTTTATTAACTCTCGAGTGTCTTAGGGGTTGGCAGTTAGTCCCTGCAATGGCTGAACAGTTTCTATTTTTTATTTATTTTTTTCCCATACAAAAATTTATGCATACATTGTTATGTGACTCTGATTGCTCTCCCCATACTGTGACAGCACACTCCTCCTTTCCACCCCTGATTCCCCATGTCCATTCAACTAGCTCCTAACCCTCTTGGCTTTCCCATCTGACCCCCAGACAGAAGCTGCCCATTTAGTCTCTTGTATCTAGTTGAGCTAAGAGGCACACTCCTCACGAGTATCACTTTATGTCCCACAGTCCAGTCCAATCCCTGTCTGAAGAATTGGCCTCGGAAATTGTGTTAGGGCTGATAGAGAATCCAGGGGCCATGCTTTCTGGGGTACCTCCAGTCTCAGACCATTAAGTCTGGTCTTACTAGAATTTGAGTTCTGCATCCCACCTTTCTCCTGCTCCATCAGGGACTCTGTTATGTTCCCTGTCAGAGTGGTCATTGGTGGTAGCTGGGCACCATCTAGTTCTTCTGGTCTCAGGCTGATGAAGTCTCTGGTTTATGGGGCTCTTTCTGTCTCTTGGGCTACTACTTCCCTTGTGTCTTTGGTGTTCTTCATTCTCCTTTACTCCAGGTGGGTTGGGACTAATTGATGAATCTTAGATGACCGCTTGCAAGCTTTTAAGATCCCAGACGCCATTCACCAAAGTAGGATACAGAACATTTTCTTAATAAGCTTTGTTATGCCAGTTGACCTCGATGTCCCCTGAAACCATGGTCTCCAGACCCCTACCCCTGCTACTCTATCCCTCAAAATGTTTGATTGTATTCAGGAACCTTATTAGCTTTGGTTTAGTCCAGTTTAGACAGCTTCTCTCTACCCCTACTCTACCCTGCTGACCTAGAAGCCAGAGAGGGACCAGGAACAAAGCACTGAAACTGGTACTATGAGAAGTTAGAGATGGCTAAAGATGCACTGATCTCACTGTCACTGGCGAACTTGCGAGCTACTACCCACAAAACGAAAGCAGTGTGTTCTCATTTCTCAAATGAGGCCAGTACTGGAGTCCAGATTGACAGAAGTGACTGATGACTTACCCTGCCAGGCTTTTAACAGGATGGGGCACAGGAGAGGTCTCTATTAACTCCCCCCAAACTCTGAATTAAATCTAGACGCCTCCAGCATGGCCCAGGAGGCCCTGAGAGATCTGCCACCTCCACTTCCCCCACTTTACCTCCTGCTACTGTCCACTTGGTTAGTAGACTCGAGCCTCACCAGCTCCCTCGCTGTTACTTTGGACACTTGCCTCATTCACCATCACTGCCCACAGAGCACCGCACCTGCAATTTCCTCTGTCTGGAATGCTACCCCCTCCCAGAACTGCAGGGCTCTTCCCCTCACTTGACCGGGGGCTTTTCCGTATCTCAAGAAGCACTTTCTATCCTTTTGCTCTTCAACCTCTTCACTTCTCTTCACAGCAGTTGCCACCACCTGACGATATCATATATATCTTTCTTTGTTGCCCATCTCCCCCACCCAGCATGCAAGCCCTGCAGCTGCCGCATGCAGCAGGTGCTCAATAAATGCTGTTGATTGAGAGCAGCAGAGACACAGTGCCAGCACCCACCCCTCCTCCATCTGCCTTGAACAACAAGGCACCTGTCTTCTCTGGCTCAATCTTTCTTTCCTTCTGCAGAGGGAAGCCTGGAGCCCCAGATTGAGGACCTGATTAACCGGATTAACGAGCTTCAGCAAGGTAAACTGAGGCTGTCAAGAAGGGCCCGGATTTTGAAAGCCTCTGTTTCCTCATCTGTAGCATTCAGGCCCCCCAGGATTGTTTGACGCAGGAATTCGAACCGGTTTGTTCCAGTTTGAACCCCTGCTGAGAATTTTCATTTCTAACAAGTTCCCAGGCAATGCTAATGCTGCTAGTTGGGGACCAATTCGGAGAACCACTAGTAGATCAGTGGTTCTCAAAATTTATTATACATAAGAATCACCTGAGGATTTTGTTAAAATGTAGATTCTGATTCAGTTTATCTGGGGGATGGAAATGCAAATTCTCAGCCGGGATTCAAACGGGAACAAAATGGTTCAAAGCCCTAGTTTGAAGACGGATGTGAAATGTTAGTCTGCAAGAGAACAGTAAGGCTGGAGGCTGCACTCACACGGTGTCTTCCCTCCTTTGACCCAGCAAAAAAGAAAGCCAGTGAGGAACTGGGAGAGGCCCGCGCGTGCTGGGAGGCCCTGCATAGGGAATTAGACTCATGTAAGTGGGGCCAGAGAGGGACAGAGCAATCCCATGATGTTCCAGCCTCCCTGCTCTCACCAGACCCCTGTGCTCCAGACCAAAAGGCCCAGTGGGGTCCCCTGCCACTATTTCAGATTTAACTCCTGCCTCTCTCCCTCTCCACCTGCAATGCTCTTAGCCTATATATGCAGATGAACTCTTGTTATCTCATGTCTTTTTTCAACTCTCAGTTCAAACTTCACCTTGATTGGCCTTCCTGGATGTCCCCACTTAAAAACAGAATCCTGTCCTATCCCTGTTAGTGTTGCTCCACTGCTTGATCTGTGTCTTCAATGCCTCATTTCCACCTGATATGGTGTATTTTTTTATTTACTGTCACCAGTCCCTTCCAAGTAAAGCGTGTGTATTCTGCAGGGTCTTCATTCCTGCACTTAACAGAGAATACAGGCACAGAGGGAAGAAGCTGGATCAGGGTAGCCCCCAGTGGGAGATGGGAGCAGGGGTACCAAGGAGACACTCAACTTTTCCTGGAGCTGGACCATGCCTTCTGTGTGACCTCGGGCATACCCTTTGCATGAAGCTGGAGTGGGAGCACTATATGGGGACTGAAAGTATTACTGTGCTTTCCAGTGAATGGTGAGAAAGTGCACCTAGAGGAGGTCCTGAGCAAAAAACAAGGTATTTACTATTGCTCTGTCTTCGTTATTCTACCCCACCACCTGACAAAAGCCCACCTGCTTATCTGTCCACTGAGACCTGAGTCACGATGCTTCCCTCTCAAACCTCCCCCTCGCTTCCCCCTCGCTCAGGGTGAACACCAGTGTCCTCTCAGTGCCCAGTGTGATTTGAGCCCCATTACCTCTACCGAAGAGCTATATCACAGGGACCCCGTGATTCCTTTCTCCACAGAGACACTGAGGATCCTGCAGCTGCACTGTCAAGAGAAGGAAAGTGAGGTTCAGAAGTAAGAGGTCCTGCCCCAGCTCTTTCCAACCTTATTTCCCCAGCCCGAAGGAGGGAAGGAGAACTAGGGAAATAAATCTTGGACATGTAAAATAGAGCAGTCAAACAGACTTCCCCACTCAGCTCTAATATTACATGGTGATGTTAACATTAACTCACTTGTTTGATCATCCATTGCCATTTTATTTATGAAATGAATTCTTTCTGCTGGTGTTTTTCTAAGCCTTGTTGGTCATCCAGCTCCTCTGCCATCCATTCATTTATCTGTCTGTACAGTTAGGCCTCCAGTCATCCCATTTACCCACTCATCTACTCATGCATTTATTCAACCAACCAGCCAGCCATTCTTTCATCCATCTATCCACATATCCACACATCCATTCGGCCCTTCAGTTAAACAGCCATAATCTCCCCAGTCATCCCTCTAACCATCTTCCATCCATCCGACCATTCATTCATCCTCTCCATCTTTCCACTCATTCATTCACATATCTGTTCATTTCTTCACCCAACCATTCATCCAGACATCTGCCTATCCTTCCAACAATCCTTCGTTTATTTTTCCATCTAGCCATCATCCTTCCACACATCATTTCTCCTTCCAGCCATTCATCCATCCAATTAACTGTCTATCCAATCATCTGTTCATTCATCTTTCCACCCTCTGAACATTTACTTAGCACAGTCCTATGACCAGAGGCCTCACACATTGATGCAACATGATTTTAATTATGTGGAGAAACCTGATGATGGATAGTTAATGTGTGTGTGTGCTTAACCACACCACAGCTACTGTCTGCTGAGCAGTTTATAATTGGTTTATCTTCCTAATCCTCCCAATGACATTTATAGGAGTTAGGACTAATCTTGCCCTCCCACCACCACCACCATTTTAAAGATGAGGAAACATCCAGAGAGGTTAAGTAACTCATCCAGAGTTAGCAGGTCCAGACTCTAAAGCCAGGACTTTAGAATCTATGATGCTAAATCACTGCACGTATCACAGAGATTTCTTGGGAACATGAAATTTGATGGGGGACAGGATGGACAGGGTGATGGTCTCAACAGTGCCCCATAAATTTCACATTCAATCAACAGAAGAAAGAAGGGTGAATGTTGGGAACAGACACCCCCAGGCCCCATTCCTGCTGGGGCAAACGGGGTCACTCAGAATATGACTGAGGGTTGCCTTTCCCTTCCTAGGAAGCACGCGTTGCAGGACTGCACAGAGAAGGTTTCTGTCCATAATTCTCAGATCACAGAGAGGAGCAAACAGTGGCCTGTTGGGCCACTGGGTAAGGGGTGGGGGAAGGTACATCAGGGAAGGTTTGTTGGAAGAGGAGCTGTGGGAGCTAAGACTTGAGGGAAAAAGCCCATGAAGTTTCTCCCAGCAGAGGGAGCAAGCTGGGCAAAGATCTGAAGGTCTGTGATGAGGCGCTCCCAGCCTCAGCCAGGGCTCATTCTTGGGTGGTTGGCCCCTAGGTTGGATGTCGAAGAACAGCTGAAGGAGCTGATGGGCCAGCACAAGGACCTCTGGGAATTTCATGTGAGTCATCATCATCACCTCCACCCAGAGCCACTCCTCCCTGGCTTTAGTGTCTTCACTGACTACAGCTGTGTCCACCCACTGCTGAGGCCCTTCTCCATGGGATAGTCCTGACTCTTTTATTCCTCTCTCCCACCCACTCAGTCCCTCAGCTGTTACCTGGCCACTTCTCACTGTTCCCCACTGCCACACCTAGTATGACTAGCCATTGCTGATCCCTCCTGCTTACCTAGAGTCTGCTTACCTTGCGGTGGCAAATGGGAACCCTGCAAAAGCCATGGTTGGGTCATTCCTTCACTCAACTAATGTCCATGGATGCATCAGGCACCATTTCAGGCAGGGGGGACACTGGCAAACCAAACGGCAAGTCTGCTGTCCCCAAGCTGGTTGGGGGAAGGGGGAAGCGTACTAACTCAAATCAAGAAAATAAGTAGGTAGATCAATCCTGTAGTGTCAGGAAGGAGGGCCTGGCTGAGTAGGTGACATCTGAAGGCAGACTGAAGAAGTGAGGGAGTGCTCCATGCAGGTACCTCGGTGCAAGTGTTCCTGGTAGAGGGAAGGGCCGGTGCAAAAGCCCTGAGGCCTAATGGTGCCTGACTTGTTTGTGGAGCAGCAAAGGTGAAGGCTCATGAGGGGAGTAGGAAGAGATGAGATTCAAGAGATATACGGGGACATGGGGAGCGTTTGGGGGAATGGGTCTGCACTAGCTGCTGGCCACCGCAGAAAAATGCACATTGAGTCAATATAGTTGAGTCAATCAATGACCTAGTTAGTGTAAGAACTTTCCCAGAGGCACGAAGGAGACAGGGCGGGCGGTATTGGCATGCTGACAGACTGGCAGACGCGTCTTCTCGCAGATGCTGGAGCAGCGATTGGTCCGGGAGATCAGTGCCCTGGAGAACAGCAAGGCACAGTTGCTTACCGAGGGTGAGACTCCAGGCAGGGTCGGGGGACAGGGGCGGTCCTGGCCTGTTGGAGACCCAGCCCCGCCCATGATGGCCTGCCCCCGCAGAGATGTTGGTGCGGGCAAAGCTGGAAGACGTGGGACGGCAGCTGTGCTCCGCGTCTGAGGTAGTAGGCTCCCCACCGGTGAGCGACGGGCCCCTCCTGAGCCACCCGGAGGCCACAGCCGTCGGGTGAGAGTGGGAAGAAGGCCTGGGCGAGCAAGGAAGGGGCAAGAAGGCGGGCGATGGCGGATGTCCCCAGCACTGCCCCTCTGGAAGGGGAAGGGCTGGTTCTGGGGAAGGTTAGCGAGACCTTTAGGGAAGGGGGCTCCTCGCCAGCCTCCCACCCAACCTACTCTGCCTGTCTGCGTGGTCAAGTGTCTTTCTCAGGGGTTCTCTGGGTAGAGGTATCTCATGCCTAGGACTTCCTTCCGTAGCACCCCAGTCTTGCTGTCTTCCTCTTTTCTCCTCTGTACTTCTCCCCAGGCTGAAGGCGGAGCTAGAGAAATTGGAGGGGCAGATCCCCGCCCAAGCCCAGAGCGGCCCAGAGGAAGAGGCCGGCAAAAGCGACGTATGGAGCCAGGGGTACCGGGGCGGGGTGGGGTGGTCCCCGGAGGTCTCTGAGAGAGCGGTCTGTAGGGAGAAGAACGTTCCTGGCGGGGGCACAGCCAGGGCAAAGGCACTGAGGAGGAGCCACAGGCCAGAGCGGGCGGAGGCCAGGGTGTAGAGAGCCTGGTCCGCCAGCCTGATTACCGCTCCCCGCAGGCTGGCTCGCATCTCCTTGGCGCCACCCGCGAGAAGAAGGATCTAGAGCCGCGGGGAGAACTGGCGTTCACGCCCCCCTAAGGCCACCTCGAACTTCCTCAAGACCTGCCAAGAAATAAAGGCGATGATTTCGTACTACTTTCCATCTCTTTAGCTGAGTCTGTGTTCCAGGAGTCAGTGGGGTTGAGTGGTGAGAACAAGATGGGGGGAGGGAGGGGGAGTTGTTGGCCGGACTTCGTCCACCGATCCTGAGGCAGGTGCACAACAGGTGCCCAATAAATGCTCCTGACTAGGTCATTGAATGAGTGTCAAGGCCCCACTGACAACGCAGCAGGCCTACCCCGCCTCCACTGTCTCATCCAGGGTACAAGAACCATCCATTCGCCCAAAGGGCTAGAGGGAGCTTGTTAAAAACCCATGTCAGGTCCTGTCCGCCTCCTGTATCCAAAGTAAACTCCATTCTCAAGCCTCCAAAAATCAGTTCCCACAGACTCCCACTGACCTTGGGACCTGCCTGCCCATTCCCATATTCAGTTCTAGCCACACGGCTGCTTTTCCACCCTTTTCAAACACTCCAAGCACAATCCCAACTCAGAGCCTTTACACTGGTAGTGTGCTCTTTCCCGGGGTCTCCTCAGGGCTTCTGCCTTCACCACAGATCTGTTAAACATGTCAACCGCTCAGGGAGGCCTGCCTGGGACCGGTGCTTTGTTGTTAGCCACTGTCAAGTCGCCCCTGACTCATGGCAACCCCATGCACCATAGGATCTGACGTTGTGATCCACAGGGCTGATTTACAGAAGTAGATCACCAGGCCTTTCTTCCTAGTCTGTCAGTCTTGAAGCTCTGCTGAAACCTGTCTGGCATCACAGCAACACTTAAGCCTCCGCTGACAGATGGGTGGTGGCAGTGCATGAATTGCATTAGCCAAGAATCAAGCCCAGGTCTCCAGCATGGAAGGCAACAATTCCACTACAAAACTATTACTGACCTCAATGCAACAGGTGCTACCACTTACTAGATTTGTATTGCTGAAACCAGCATTTGCGGCGTCAGGGAAGGTCTCATGAGAGAGTGGTGTCTGAGCAGGGAGGTGAGGCCGGGAAGTAAGGGAGTGCACCATGTGGATATCTGGGGAAAGGTATACCTGGCAAAGGGAATGGCTCATGCAATGGATGTGAGGTGAGACTAACTTGGTTGTGTTTGAGGAACAGTGAGGAGGGGGCCAGAATGGTGGTGTAGAGTGAGGTAGACAGGGATGGGAGATAATATCAGAGAGTTCCTGGGGACCCCAGTCAAGTCGAGCCTTGTCCAGTGTACAGCAGGGCCTGGTGTACAGCAAACACTCCACAAATGTTAGCTGTTTATTATTATGATTCATAATTATTCCCAGTTCATATATGAAGGAAACTGAAGTGTGTGCATCACATAGAAAGGGGTTTACTATATCCATTAAGTGCTCAATAAATGGCACTTTACAATTTTTTATTATTATTCCCAGACTACAGATGAGGAGCACAAGGAACACAAAGGTGTGTAACCCTTAGACCAGAGCTTTTTGCACAGTAAATGCTAAATAAATGGTACCTATTGTTTATTATTCTCATTATGATTCTTGTTATTCCCAGTCTAAAGATGAGGACAGTTGAAGCAGTGAATCTCTTAAAACTAGACTTTGTGTACAGTAAGCCCTCAATAAATGTTGGGTCTTGCCATTGTTGCTACAATTTTTTATTATTATTCCCAGTCCATTGATGAGGCTCAGAGAGTTTTAATCCCTTGTGCCATGGTTCCCACCCAGGCCCAGCTAACTCCAAGCCTTGGCTCGGATCCCCTGCCCCACTGACACTGCCTTCTGCCTTATGCCAGCCTCCAGGGATCTTTAGGGCATTTTACTGTCTTCTGTCATCCCCTCTGCGTCACGCGTCTGACTTAACCACTCTCCTCCTAGTATTCAGAGCCTGCCTTCACTGCTCACTGGCAGAGTGACTTCAGTCAAATTACTAAGGTCTCCAAACCTCAATTATTACATTTGCAAAATTGTGATACAACTGGACAGAATTTCTTATAAGCCTGGCCAACTCCTCACTTCTCCCAGAAACCTTCCCTGAACCCCTGAACTAGCTAAGTTGACCCTTGTGTGGATGCAGTACACTACCTAGAGATAATTGGTACTCAGCAATCTCTCTCCCAGACTGATCTCTCTGAGAGTGGAGACTGACCTGACCCACTTCATCTTCCTGAATCCTAGTAAAAGTCTGAAAAACACTAAAAATATGTATCTTTATGCATGTATAAGATGCCCTTGAAATTCCTTGGATCTTGGAGTGGAGCTTCTATCACACTGAGCTGGAGGCAGGGAGGAGCAGGTATGGCTCAAGTGCCACACCTCTTGCTGTTCTTACCAAGATTTAGTAGATTTCCTTGAATAAATATTTCTTTACTTGCTGTATTCCTTTAAGACAATTTCCAAAGACTTTAAGTGGTGGTTTATTTATTTATGTTTAATAATTTTTACCAGTTACAGTTGCTGCTGTTTCTTCATCTCTATAAGTCTGCAGAGTTCTTCATGCTTCCATTCTGGAAGGGGAATGCTCTATGCCTTCTTTGTATTAATTTCTGAAAAGTAGTATTTCTAGATATAAGATTTTGGCTGACTGTTTTTTTACTTTGAGCATTTTGAATGTGTCATCCCACTGCCTTCTGGCCTCCATTGTTGCTGAGAGGAGTCAGCTGTTGATTTTATTGGGGGTTCCCTTTATGTAATGAGTAGTTTTTCCACAACTGGACCAATAAGCAACATCATGATAAATGGGAAAAGATTGACGTTGTTAAGGGTTTCATTTTACTTCAATCTACAATCAACGCCCATGGAAGCAGCAGTCAGGAAACCAAATGACGTATTGCATTGGACAAATCTGCTGCAACAGACTTCTTTAAAGCGTTAAAAAGCAAAGATGTCACTTTGAGGACTAAGGTGTGCCTGACCCAAGCCATGGTATTTTCAGTTGCCTCATATGCATGCAAAAACTGGACAGTGAATAACGAAGACTGAAGAATTGATGCCTTTGAATTATGGTGTTGGCAAAGAATACTGAATATACCCTGGTCTGCCAGAAGAACGAACAAATCTGTCTTGGGAGAAGTACAGCTAGAATGCTCTTGGAAGTGAGGACGGTGAGACTTTGTCTCTTGTACTTTGGACATGTTATCAGGAGGGACCAGGCCCTGAAGAAGGACATCATGCTTGGTAAAGTAGGGAGTCAGCGAAAAAGAGGAAGACCCTCAATGAGATGGATTGATACAGGGGCTGCAACAATGGGCTCAAGCATAACAGTGAGTGTGAGGATGGTGCAGGACCAGGCTGTGTTTCGTTCTGTTATACATAGGGTCGCTATGAGTCGGAACTGACATGACGGCACCTAACAACAACATCAAGCTTTCAAGATTTTGTCTTTTTACGTTTTGACTATGATGCATCTGGATGTGAATTTCTTTGAGTTTATTGAACTTGTTAGAGTTTGTTGAGCTTCTTGGATGTGTAGATTAATATTTTTTTATCAAATGTGGGGATTTTTCAGTTGTTATTTCTTAAAAAAAATGTTTTATGCTCCTTTTTCTGCTTTCCTTCTGATACTCCCATTACACATATGTTGGTATGCTTCGTGGTGTCCCATGTTTCTCTGAGGCTCTGTTTCTCTTTCTTCATTTTTTTCTCTCTTCAGATTACATAATCTCTCTTGATCTGTCTTCAAGTTTGCTGATTCTTTCTTCTGCCAGCTCAAATATACTGTTGATCCCATCTAGAGAATTTTTCATTTTAGTCATTGTACTTTTCAATTCTAGAATTCGTACTTGATTTTATTTGTAATTTTTACCTCTGCTGATATTCTGTATTTGATGAGACATTGTCATCATGCTTTCTTTTATTTCTTTTTTTTTTTTCATAATTACTTAGCTATTTATATCTTCTTTTGGTTAGATATTGGACATTTCTTTTTCTTTTTTTATTGTTGTAATTAAATGAAGTTTACATTTCAAGTTAGTCTCCGGTACAGAATTTTTTTTTTAACATACATTGTTATGAGACCCCAACCGCTCACCCCATTCTGCAACAGCACACTTCTCCCCTCTGCCCCTGATTCCCCATGAACATTCAACCAGCTCCTAACTCTCTCTGCCTTCCCCTCTCACCTCTGGACAGAAGCTGCCCCTTTGGTCTCTTATATCTACTTGTCTAAGAGGCACATTCTTCACAAGTATCACTTTATGTC